GCAGATCTTTTTTTTAAATTTTCTCAAAACATCATTTTCACAACATGGTCCGTTTCTATTGTCCAGACCCCATATTAGATGTGTTGCACATAATATTCAAATATCTGTAAAAAAAGGGTTTATATCAACCAAGATTTTCATTAAAAAAGTAAGAAGATTAAATAAGTTTGCAGTTAATAGAGATAAATGTAGAGAAAAACTACAAGAAATATATGTGGGTTATCTAAAGTAATTAATTTAATGGAGGCGATGTTGATATTGATTTGGATGGTCAAATTAAAAACCTTGAGCTGATTAAAGATGTTCCAACTCATTGGAACTCTACTTACCAGGTCATGGATAGATTGCTATATCCAAAAGATTCATTGGAAGTTTACAAAAACGTCCAACAAAATTATTATTAAATGAAAATTAATGATTATTAAAAATTATTAAAATATTAAAAAATTTGCAGAAGCAACTGAACTGCTTGGTGGCAGTAAATATCTGACTTTATCATTTACTTATCCAATAATTCATAACTCTAAAAGATATTGAGATACAGACTGCAAAAATGTTGCATAAAACAATTTGGGATTCTATGAAATCAAAATGGGAAGAACCAAAGGACATTGAATTAATCAGCTCATTCATTTTTAAAATGTTAAATTTTGTTTCTAATGTAAAATTTTAATAATCAAAAAGCAAATAGTAAATTGAGTTATTTTAGAAATTCCAGAAAATGTAAGTCCTTTAGAATGGTGGAAAATGCAAAAAACAACTTTTACAAAGTTATCAAACTTATCGAGAAAATACCTAGGAATACCATTATCATCTGTTCCCGCTGAACGTGTCTTTTCAACTGCTGGAAATTTAATCATAAATAAAAGAAATCGTTTAAATCTATCAACAATTAAAAATGTAATTTTCTTAAAAGAAAATTTATTAAAAACTTCAAATATATCAAAGGAATTGTAAATAAATTCACTTTTTTTCTTAATATTTATAAATAAAGCCCTTTATCAAATTTTAAAATTAATAAATCGTTAGACATTTTGAAGTGTTTAATTAAGTCGTAATTGCTACAAAGGTAGTTTTTGGTCAACTTGATTATGGCGACTTTTCATTTACTCTACTTGCTTATACCTAGAAAGCTTCGATGAATCTGTAAGCAGGCTTTCACCGAATGATATTCACCAATTATTCACCAATTATCCGGTTAATTGGGTATTGAAAATTTTTCATTGATTAATTAATCGGGTGTTGAAAATTTTCACCAAATAATTGGTGAATAATCGGTACAAAATATAAAAAATAAAAAATTTTATCTACGTAATTAATGTAAATAATATTTTATCACTATTACATTATTTAATGACAGCCAAACGAACAAAATTGAACCCATTATTATTTGAAAGAATTGTATTTCTTAAAAAAAATATGCAATGTGTGTGTTGAAAATATTTTTCTTGATCTTGATGAATAAAAATTTATTATATTTTTCCTGATGAATAAAAAAATTTTTTTTAAATAAATTTAATATTTAACGGATATTCGGTGAATGACCAATTATCCGGGTGTTGAATTCTATTGACTGACCAATTATCCGGATGTTGAGTTTTATTGATTGACTAATTGCTCAAACACCCGGATAATCGACGTGAATTACAACATTAACTTTCTGCCTCTACTCCCAAGCAAGGCGTCGAATTATTAATGTTAATTACCTTATTGATTAATTATCTTTAAAAATTATTTTTGTTCCATTAATAGAAATAAATAGTAGTTAGTATGTATATATGTAAAAAAAAAAAAGAAAAGGCTATATCACATGTCCGACATACGATTGGGCGGCACCCATTCATTATTTTAATTGATATGTTAGTGTAGTGCTAGGGTACGTATTTAGAGTCCAGTCACTGCTGAAATCCAGAAAAAAATCTAGCCAACTATTTACGACTTATAAACCTCCAGTCAACTTGCAACACTAGTATACACGTATATAACTTGTATTTAATTAAAAATATCAATGGTCATAACTACTTTTACATGCTGTAATGGAGTCAAAATCTAAGAAGTGTGTGTCTTGTTGAAAAGAATCCCTGCGCCTCAAATAAATACTTCCAATGACTTTAGACCCTCTCCAGAATCCATTCGGTTTAACAATACTGATGACAAAGAAGAATATTTATATAATAGATATTTTTCTTATTAAACATGTTAATTAGGAATGATCTACTACAAAAAAATTATCATGATAAAAAATATCCAAATTTGAATTGATCTATATACTTTTGTTGTTTGTGTGCGTAAATAATTACCATATAATTATTTACACATTTTTTTAGAAAAATCGGGATTCTTTCTTTAATCGTAAGAAAAATTTTTTTCCTTCAAAAAAAAAACATTAAAAATAATAATGATAATATTAATAAGCAAAAGGTTGTTTAGAACATGTAGTTCACGTCCATTTTTTAAGATATTTTTTACAATATGCATAATTTTATCAATTAAAATCTCAACAAGAGTGTTTGCTTATCAAGAATTAATGTTTACTGAACCAACAGGATATCAACCATTATATCCCGTAAATGTGGTGGCGTCAACTTACTCAGATGAAACTGTTATTGTTAGATTATCAAATAAATATTCATGCCCAAAGGCACCAAATATATTTGCTATTAGAATAATATATCAGAATGGCACAACTAGTGGATTCAATTTGGCGAATTTCACTTTCCCAGAATTAAATTTTTGTCCAATTGATCGAATCGATATTTTTTCATTGCCAGGTAACTAATTACAATTGACAAGCAAAAAAATTTGATGATCTTTGATTTATGAAAAGGAATTTATTTTAAAATTAAAAATTAAAACATTGTAGGTGATATGTTATTAGTTAGATATCAACAAATTATTAATGATCCACCTAATTATATACAATATACGGGCCTTGTTGTTTCTATGGATGGGGAAATTATGGATTCGTAAGTTATTTTTACACTCTAGAATCAAAAATATTATTTAAAATAAATAAATATCTATTATATGTCATTTTTATTATAGAGGGGTACAATTAGGATCACCAATTAGCCTTGAAAATATTAATAAATTTCAAACAAGACTTGTCACATCAAAATTTACATCAAATTCAGATGAAATTATACTGTCTGCAATATTTAATCAATCAGTTATTCAATGGATAAAATTAGATTGGGATAGTAAAAGGTATAATAATGTCGCATAAAATCGTTTGAATTTAAATAATATATTTTTAATCAAAATTTTTTGAAATTTAATTTATTTAATAGTCAAAAATTGAATAAAAATTCAGATGGAGAAATCACCCCCACAAATGAAGAACAAATAGATGACCTTGAATTGTTTTCAACAATTGGTGGAGGTTATGGAATACTTTTTTCAACAAGTCTAAAGATTCAATCAACATTGCCCACTAATCCAACTAGTTTTGATAGTTTTACTAAACCTCAATCACTCATTTATTTTTCAAAAATTTTACCAAATCAAATAACATCTACGAATTCCACACTAGTTTATCATAATGCCATTCCGCAAACAAGACTTGTGATAGGGTCGTGTCAGGCATCTTTAAATGGAAACATAGGGAATAAATGCTCAGTAAATGGTGGAAATTCAGTACTTAAGAAGGATTTTTGGCTTATTATTTCTTTTTATTCCACAGGATCTGTCAAAGAATATAAAGATTTACCAGAATTTCAAATTGTATATAAGGAATCCTTACCATATTATGTTAAATTTAATCAAAGTTTTGGATTGTATAGTGGGGATTTTTTGATGACAGGAGTAATTAGCGCGACTAATAATATTACTGGAACGATTTATGATGAAAATGGAAATTTTATAAAAGAATGGGGATTGCCGTCGCTTGAAGGATATAATTTTGATATTTTAAAGAATAATACAGTAGTGGCCACTTTACCTGGGCAAGATAATAGCGGAAAATCGTGGTATATTTATACTACAGATGATTTATCTTCATCATCGGTGAAGAATAATGGTAAGGTTGGGAGAAGGGGGAAAAGGTCATTTTGAATTGAATGGTTTAAAAGTTAAAAAATATTAATATTTTTAGATGACATATACAAGAATTTGAATATTAAATCAACTTTTCCGCCTATAAATTCCACGATACCACTTCGTACAGCATCAATTAATATAACATTTCAAGGACCAGTTGCACTTTCCAGTGGAAACATTAGCATATATCAAAGGATTGGAGGAGATGGTAGTGGTGGTGGTGGTGGTTATAATTATTATGATGATCACAAAAACCAAGATCTATTGCGTCAAATATTTGATGGCACTTCAGCTTACTGTAAAACTTCAAAAGATGGATTATCGGTGACTATTGATGTATTTTTAAGCACGTTTAATCAACCACAAAGTGAATATTATGTACAAGTTGATGGGAATTTTGTAAAAGACAAATCATTTGATGAACCTCTATTAGGTATTGGAAAAAGAGTTTGGAATTTTAATACTGGAAATCTTGATAATAATGAATATACAGGTATTTTATCATTATTTATTATTATTATTTTATTTTTAAATAAAAATTAACAAAATAAATAGATACAATTTCTAATAATCATTTGAATTCAAAATATAGAGAGTATAAATATTTTATTGAGTCTTACACCCATTGCAACCTTGGAATTTGAAAGTTTTACTGATAATCAGATAATAGAATACTTTACTAATTTAACTTTAGCATTGTCTGGTTCCATTCCAATTGAAGTTGAAAGGTTTAAAATAAATCCAAAATGGCAATATGATGGAATGAAAGAGCCTAAACAAATATTATTTTCAATGGGAATCTTGTCAACATCAAACCTATCAGAACCTAACTCCAAACAAGTATTTAATGATTTTGAAACAATGTTGAAATTAAAAAATCAAACTAAATTAATACAATATGAGAGTATAAATTGGTTAGATGAAAATGATGGAGTTGTTATAATTAGTAAGATTTCATGATATTTTTTTTGTATATATATTCGTGTGCAAGCTATTAATAATAATTCAATATATTTCATATATAGGATATATTTGGGAAGAATATAGATATCAAATAGCAGGTGTTATATGTGCTTTATTTATGTTATGTGTATTAGTATTTTTAGCACATAATAGCTATCCACAGGCAAGGGGACTATTTCTTTCTATATAATTATTTAATAATTAAATAATATATTAATAAATATATGTATGTGCGTTATTAATAGGGAAATAATATGGCATTATTTAAATTTATTTTGATAATGGCAGATTTTACATTAGATATTTTATTTATAATATATCATGGTAAAGATGTACCAAGGTTGTTTTTTCCAAGGTAAAGTCAATTTTCAATTTATGCATCATCATCAATAATAATATAGTAATATATATTTTTATTAATATTTAAATTTTATTATTTTAAAAAAAAAGTATGGTAATAATTTTATCATCATCAGCAGTGAATTTTTTTGTGGCAATGTTTGTTTTTTTAAGAGAATTTTATAGCAATACAAAATTTTATATGTATAGTAAAGACAATAAGTTTATAACGATACTATTTATGATATTTGGATATGTTGATTTAGTTTCTTTAGAATTATTCGATTCTAAATCAGCAAATCAGAAAATTTTTCAGGCTAATTTTACACCACTAGCAAAAAATTTAATTTATATTGGAAGTTTAATTGGTTTGATGATTGAAGATGCAGCTCAATTGACTATTCAGGTAATAATATTGGCATTTACAATTATTTAAATATATATTACATTAATTAATTATAATTATTATTATTATATATAGATAATCTATTTAATGAATGTAGTAATATATAAATTTGTACCATTGTTAACTATTACAACGTGTTCATTAATAATATTGACAAACGTTATAGGTAAAACATATGATTGTATTCGTAGTATTAGAAAAAGATCATGGTATAGACCACAATCCAATCAAGTTGGTGATTATAATAATAATAATAATTCAGGCAAAAATTATTTGGTTGAAGGGCAAGAATCTGAACAAATGTTTAATAGATGGTGGGAAATTGGTAATGATAATAATAGTTACAATAGTAATATTAGTGGTAGTAATGGAATTAACAAGAATTTTCAAGTTAAAGGAATATTAAAGAATAATAATAATAACAATAATGATTGTGTTGTACATGGAGTAAATTTTAACTTTGACGGTTCTGCAGTGGCGACAACAAATTCTCAGATTGATGATGGGGCTGGAACAATGTTCGTTAAACATCAAAATTATAGTAAAATTGATATTAAAGATAAAAATGATGAGGATGAGGATGAGGAGGGTGAGGGTGAGGATGAGGATAATGAAGACAGGGAGGATGAATATGAGGATAATGAGGATGGGGATGGAGACGAGTATGAGGACGAGTATGAGGACGAGTATGAGGACGAGTATGATGATGATGATGATGATGAGAACGATAATAGTATTATTATAATAAATAAAATTAATGACAATGGTATATAACTAGAAATATTTAATATACTTTATTATAACAGTGACTTTCATCATTGGTGTAACTTAAAATATATAAACTTATATATATATATTTTTGTGGGCCTCAAATTCGTTTTCCATTTACCTAATTTACATAATTTACATAATAATCCAAAATTCAAATTGAGATTTAAATAATTTTTATTTTTGAAATAAATAAATTAGGAATATGTCATTTTAGATATGCATGATTTTTATTTAATAAAGGTTTTTTTATATAAAAAAAATTTTTTTTCTCATTTACAGTAGTCTAAAGAAAAGATCTGATGTATATAAAAACACATTAACATCCGATGTGTTCATAAAGAACAAATATATTATCACAATGGCCATATATTTTAATATTACTATATATTCTAACTCTTTATGATATATATATTGCAATTCGCAAACACGCCCCGCCCGATTTTAGCTTCTCCGTGAGGAACAAGAACCAATATAAATTTGTACATATATAAATAGACATAACGTATAAATAGATATTCGTTAGTAATGAAAGTATAATAACAAAGCGTAGCAGCAAAATGTTTAAACCAAGTTATCAAAATATTCTCATTCGAAGATTGTCCTCAAAAGTAAAGAAACTAACTGACCTACAAAATGTCCCTACCGTTGTCCTACAATGAATATTATTTTGAATACTGATAAAAACTTGTAAGAAATTAATCATTTTCTATATAATTTATGTATCCGCTGCTATATATTATATATATTAATATATTTTTTTCGATGTCATCCATCATAATGTTATTTTTTTATTAACGTTTGCCGTGTCACGATCTCCTTCAAAAACCCACAAGTCGTGTGACTTTCGTGCAGGTTTCTCGTTGATTGTCTCCTTTGCGTCTAGCCGCGCCTGGTCTTTTCGGTTCTTGGCGCGATCAACGTTTTCACCATATTTAGCAAAAAATGTGTCGTACGGCAAATGTTTTATAAACAAGGGAATCAGATTATACTTTTTCAAAGCAGAAACCCTTCAACTTTAGTATGGTATACTTTCCACCAATGATAACCACTGGCTCTTATATCGGCCAAAAGATAATCCTACACATCCTCTTATTCAACATTGCCAACAAAGGATGATCCTTATTCTTATCATCCTATAGTTGGTTTGGTCTAAAGACCTCCTAAATTTTGGGCAAATTGTTTCTTTTTCAATGGTATACTGCCTTGACATCTTGTAATTATAATAATATTAATATTGATTACGCAAAGCAAAATATCAATCGTTCGTTGTTGACGAGGATCTTATAATTACCCAGCAATGATCTGCTCCACGTTTTGATTCCAATTAAAATATAAACTAAATATATATATCAATACAAGTAAAAAATAGTACCTCTGGTTAGTTATTAACACGTCTTCTTTAGGAGACTCGCGTTTTGCCATCTTGTAATAAATTGTTTTTCCAAGAAAAAAATCAATCGCGTCAACAAAAAAAAATCTGTGCAACACCAAGTGCCAATAATAAATAATTAATGACGTGTTTGTCGATCAAATCAAACTTCTTTTTTATTTTAATAAAAAAAAATTATCATCAGGAAATGCTAAAAGAAGAATGGTGGTTGAAACACGTCGTCATTCTAGTTTCATTTAACCAATAAACTAGACAAAAGAAAACAAGAATTGAGGAACCTCGGCCAGCCAAATGGACCAGCTTGGTCCATAACGGAGTCTTTTTTCCTCTGGAGTACCCACTGAATTGTCAAAACAAGATGAAGACAATATGATAATTGCACTGGGTACATCAAAAACCAATTATATAGACCCACGCATTTCTTTTGCGTGGTCTAAAAAGTATGAAATACCAATTGATAAGGTTTTTAACAAAAGCCTTCAGGAGAAATTCCAATGGGCATTAGATGTTGATGCAGATTGATAGGAAATTTTTTTTATTTTCTTTGAATAATTTAGTAAAGGATTTTATTATATTAATTTTAGATTATAACTATGAAAACTACAAATTTATATATATATATATAATTTTACATTATAGTAAACTTAACTTTTAAAGAAATTTCAGGGAACTAAATTATAGTGACTAGTTATGAATTAAAATTTCTTTTCTTTTTTTAATTAATAAAAAAAAAATAATTTCGTCTATTTTCAATCATAAAATTTTTTTAATATTAACTAGAGTAGTGAGTAATAGATCAATAATCACCACCACCACCTTTTTTAATATATATAGGAAAAAAACCAAATATGTATAATTTTAATTTTTATTATTTTTTATAAAAATAAATAAATAGACATATTAATGTCTTTATAATGTTCCAATACAAGATGGGATTATTTACCTTGTTTTAATGTCAATGAGGAAAAAACACTTATAAACGTATTCTTGAATGTAAAATTTGTTCAACGTTTTTTTTTATGATAAGCAATGCAATATGATGAACATTAATTATATTTTGCATAAAGGAGAATTTTTTTGTAGTAATAGTCAGTAAAAAAAAATAAATCAACATTGTAATAATAAAATTATTTTCCTTCTAAGGGTTTCTGCTTTTTATTAGGTAATAATGATGCTTTCTTTTCCAACATTTATTATTTTTCTTTCTTCTTGGTAAATTTCATAAGTAATCTTTTCTTTCCTTAAATAAGCTTCCAGTTTCTGAGTATCATTTATTTTGAAAATATAAGGAGCAATTTTTTCACCTTGTTCTTTCTTCAGAATACTTCTGATAGTACTATAATTCTTGGGCTCCATAGTAGATCTTATGTAAATTAATTTCACATTAACTACAGTGTGTAACGAAAATAAATTGAATATTGTGGAACAACAACAGAAGGGTGATATCACGTTTTAAACATCATCACTTATAGATTCATTTTATTATAAATTAATATGGTATTCTTTCACCATTTTTTTCAATAACCAATTCACAATGATCTTTCATTGAGTTTATCAAATCAGTTAAAACATTAATTGGAATATTGTCCCATTCCTCCTTCATAAAACGTTTTAATTCGTCACAATTTTTTGGCATCCTTCTTTCAACATTTCATTTAACAATACTCCAGAGGTTTTCAATGGGATTAAGGTCAGGACTGTTGAATGGCCAGTCCATTAATTCAGGAACATTTTCATTGAGAAATGCTCAGGCAATTCTACTGGTGTGTTTAGGATCATTGTCCTGTTGGAACCGCCAAATATCCCCCAGCATCTCATTGACCTCTGGAATATGATTTCCAAGTATATCCACATAAAATTTTGCGTCCATTATTTGACTAGAGCAAAAAATATTCGTTTTTCCATTTACACAAAATCCACCCCATGCTAAAATTTTTGTTCTGTCTTTTGGCATACGACGAACTGGTTTCACACCTTTATGCCAACATTCCACTGTGTTCCTGAACAATTGAAAGGATGTCTCATCAGTGAATAACGTTTTTGACCAGTCGTTATTTAAGTGTTTCCTTGCCCATCCAACTCTTCTCTCCTTGTGAACCATTGTTAGCTTGCGGAGGCTTTTCTTATAACCATGATTGGATAAATGTCTCGAAATGGTCATGTGAGACACTTATATTCCTTTTCCTGCTACTTTGTTTACCAATGATCTTACGGAAATTGAGGTATCTCTTCTGATAATCTGCCCGATTGAATGTGAAATATCCGCAGTAATTTTTTTTGGCAAAATATTATTTGTCTCCTTAATTTTTTTAATATTAAAATATATAGTAGAAGGGGGAATCTTTGTCAGAGCGTGAAGTTCTTTGGCAGACCTCACACCCTGGTTCCAGAAATGTAATAGAGTCTGACGTTGTCTTTCTTGGTTGGATGTAGACATTTTGATGTTAATTTTTTACAACAATTGAAAAATGATAAACAAAAAAAAATCTAAAAAGACAAATTTATTACTTGTGTTTTTGAAAGTGACGCGATGCAAATTGGGTTTAATTTGAGTACAAAACACGCATTTAAACAACGCGAACAATTTTCCAATTCGATGTTAAAAACACTATTGATCCCTGAAATCTTTGGTAATACCAATGTTCATTTTGTCTGGTTTTGTTGCAGCATGCCCAATATGTATAAAATAAAAAAAAACAATACATTTACGACTACCTTTTATGTCTCAAGTCAATCATACAGCATCCATGTATAAATAACATTTTTATTAGTATTAGTATGTACTTTCCAATATGTAATGAGTAAAAAAATAATAATATATATTGTCACCGATTAAATTTGGGAGAGCGTATTTTAATTGGTGATAACAATTATTTTTGTTTTTGCGTGGATCAGAATGAATAGGGGATCAACGAATTGATTTTGGTATTAGCGAATAATTTTGGTTAAATAAAATATTTATTTTATTTATTTAGTTTTCTTAGTCGAAACTAATTAACTTATGAGAAAAGTTACTTTACAAGTACATTGAATTCAAGCTCCTTATATACAATTCAATTAATTAGTAATTCTAATATCCCAAAATTGAGATATTCTCTCAATATTGAGAAGTTATCCCAAAATTGAGACGATATCTCAAAATTGCGCGGATATCGAGGATATACCAAAATTGCGAGAATATCCCAAGACGATTCTTTCTTAAATAAGTTAAATAAATTACGACAAATAATAATAAATGAAAAAACGTAGATGTAACACGATAAAATAAATTAATTAATAAAATAAGAAATAAGGTTATAAATAAAAATGAAGAATTCCGGTAACAATATGTATACATTTATGACTACCCTTTATGTCTCGAGTCAATCATGTACAAATAACGTTTTTTATTAGTGTACTTATTAAATAATATGTATGTATGTATTGCTCTAGCACAATTACCTTTATGTCTAAAGAAATAAATGAAAAAGAATAAGAAGTGTAATTGAATCATTAATTTTTGTGCACCTTGGTAAAAAATATGTATACTTTTTGGATTTTTTACCTCTTATTTAGATCTTGCAATCTGCTGTATTAACTGGGTTACTTTTAACCAAGCAAAGCTTTCAAAGGAAGGTATGTTCTTGCAAGACATTCTTTGTTGTTACAATGTATTTTAGTCATGTTAACTAACTATGTTATGCGTCTTAAAAATTTTGTTTCTCATCTAGTTTCTTGACAGGACCAAGATCTGAAGATCTTATTTTGCCCAAACATAAAGAAAAGAATAAACAACTTATCAATATAAAAAAATAATATGCAATGTGCATTAGTTTTTTTTGTACTGAATTCCTCTTTTTTTTTACTTTAAAATAATTGAAATTTCTGTTTCACAATATAAAAAAGATCGACGTTCAATTTTGTCACTTTGTGATAAATAGTAATAGAACGCTGTTATTATAATGTTGTGTAAGGTAGATTATGTCACATGGACGGGATAAGGCCTAATGATGTACTGTGTAACCAAACCCTTAATCTACATATCAAAATGACATAATCTATATATATATTGGTTTTAAATCAATAATTAAATTAAATCATCTTAACTATTTAAGATATATAATAATAAAAAATAATATGCGATGATTTACCTACACATTTTTAATGACGATCCCCCGGGTATTTTTATTAATGGATTTTTTATAGACCACGAATTAAAATTTGATGTTACGCACTGAATGACTGTTATTAATACTAATAAATTTTCGATAAAAATGCATGCTTATTATCATGATGACAATGATGATTCAGACCCAAAAAAACCTCATGAAAAAAATCCACTTACCATTGTTACCCCTGAAGAACTTGCACATCTTGGTATTTCACACTCACATATAGAAGAAGAGGATTTTCTTAATAAAATTAAAAAAATATCTGAGGAAAGACGTTATAAAAGTCATGATGAAGTAATAATTTGAATTTTTTTGGGGAGAACAATTTTATTATTATTATATATTTATATATAAGTATGTATAAATAGATTACATTCTCGAAAGAAGCAATGGGTGATTTGTATGATAGTAAAATGAAAATTTTTTATGAAGAGTAAGTAAATGAAATAGTTAATAATTTTCTTTACTTTGTATTATTTTATAAATAAATACTAATTATGATTATTATGTTTTTGTTGTTAAATTAGACATTTTCATGAAGATGAAGAAATTCGTTATATTCTTGATGGTTCTGGATATATTGATGTTCGAGGTATGTATGCATCTTTGAAATGTGGAAGTATCTTTTTTTACATAATTACAAATATTTATGTTTACTTGAATTTGATTTAGATTTGCAAGATAAATGGATTCGTATTGCACTCACTAAAGGAGATTTGATTGTTTTTGTAATTAATAAATTATCAATATATTATCTAATAATATATATATATATATATGATTAATAAATTAATTCATTCATTTTTATATGAAGCCTCCAGGAATTTATCATCGTTTCACGCCTGACACCAATAATTACATGAAGGCTATGCGTAAGTATTTTATTATTATTTTCATTCATTATGATTATTATTAAAATAATATTTACCAATGTTTATTTAATATTAATAATATGTTTATAGGTTTATTTAAAGAGGTAATATTTTCATTAATATTACAATGATTAAAAAAAATATATAATCAAATAATTTAACAACAAATTTATAATCTAATATTAATATTACAAGGAACCAATACGGGTAGCAATTAATCGTAAGTTATTTCATTCATTTTCACAAAAAAAATCATTAATTCGTATTTACTCTGTGTGTATATATATATATATATTGGTACTTATAGGTCCGGCTGATGATAATAGTTTTCATAAAAATTATTTAAAATCACTTCAAGGCGTTGGATTGTATAAATAAATAAATAAATAAATAAATGAAAGGGCTTGTTTATTATTTTTTTAAAAAAGTTACTGATAAATTATAAACTTATTTTTATGCATAGTGTTTATGTGAATGTGTGTGATTTTATCATCTAAGCAAACATGAACCTCTGCATAATTTAAAAGAAAATCCTTTGCTGCAGTCATATGAACTCTTTATCATTTTTGAATGATTTCTGAAATAAGCCTGACTTTACTGAAAAGTTAGTTGATAGAATTACATTGCTAACTTATTGAGATAAATTTTTTCAAGTTTTTGCCAAGTACTATTATTTATTACAAGTATTATTAGGTATCATTATCATAATCACAACCATAATTATTATTTATTATATTTATTAATCATCTAAGTTGAGTCCAAATTTCTTGTACATTTCTTTTGTTGTTGTCCCTTCTAATTCTGCACACTTTACAAATGATTATTGTTTATTATAAAATAATTACAATAATTGATTATTTATAATGAATATAAAAAATTGACATACTTTTCCAAATAACATTTGACCAATATCTTTAATTTCATTATAGTTGTGTAGTTGATGATTATGATCTTTTAATGACTTTTCAATATCAAAGTCTCCACTATATATATATTAAATAGATCTTACGTTTAAAATTATTAATATTAATAATTAAAATACAGATATATATATATATGAAATATCTTAACAGTAAATTTTCTTTTAATTTGACTTCTTCAGATTTCAATGATTCAAACTGTTCTTGAAGTGATTGAATCTTGGTGTTAATTGCCTCCTATGATAATAATATTAACAATAATAAATGATTATTATATGGAGAAGAGAGAAGATAGTTGAAAAATCATTAAAATTTAAATTGAATCAACACTTTTTGAATGATAATCTTTGGATCGTTGATTTCTTCTGTTGATGATTCTTGAGAAATCTTTCTCTATAACACAATTTAATTATTAATTAATTAATTAGTAGAAATTTTAAAATTCTTATTAATTATTTTTTACCTTTAAATTATAATCACTGTTTTTATCAATATATAAAGTTAAAGTATCATCTTTATCTTTAATTTGTAACTTTTTCTCTGATCTAATTGACAAATGTATTTATATTAAAGTTAATTTTTTAATATTTAGACTGAAAAATAATATTCGCCTACAAGATATTTTCATTGACAAGTTCTTGAATAAGATTATGAAGATTATCGATTTGATTAAATTTTTGTTTTAATTCAAATAAAGAAATAGGGTGATGAGAATGCTGTTGTTGATTAAAATAATTTTTAATTTCTTTTTTTGGGTTTTCCATTTTTAGGAAATTTTTTAATAAAATCTTTTTTGATTATGGAATGTGCGCATGTATATCATGTCACCATTTACACACTTGGTCCTACAACTTTTTGCGCCACATCAAGCATAATGGACACCAGTACATGGTGGAAATTCTCAGTGTAACGTTTGATGATCATATTTTTAATTTTTAAAGATTATTGTTTATTACTATTACTATGTATAAAAGAAAATAAAGAAAATAATATTAACATTAATTGATTTGGGTTTATTTTTTATTTTATTTATGGGAAAAAGATATATTATAATTTTTTTAATAAAATTACTAATATTTATTTGTTAAAATAATTCATAAAACATTGTTGATGAAATGCAATCTGCATTTAATTCAGCAATTGATCTAAATTCTTACATGTAAGATTTTGTGTATTGCTAAGTAAAACATGGGTTTAATTGATCTATTTACCCAACATTTAACCTCTTATAAAATTATACAAGCTTTCCTCCACATTTACCAAATAGTATGTTTTTATATAGTCATTAGGAAGCCCTTATCTGGCTCTAAAAATTTTATTATGATTGAAAAGGTCACTAAATTCGTTGTTACAAAAACTCGCTGAAACAAAAGTGGTAATGATCGTCAGAAAAAAGTAATAATAATAATAAATGATAACGTTTATTCAAATTGTATTTTAATATTAATAAATTATACAAATAATTATTTATTATTTATTGAAATATGCTGTAATACTACTTGTTTTTGTTTTTGAATATTTAATAATGTTATTTTTCTTTTTAATGATTTAAAAGATTTAGATTCAATATACCCTATACAAAGTTTAGATACTTAAAATGCACTTAAAATATACATAATATACTTAAATATACTTAAAATATACTGATGGAAGAGAACAAGAACATTTTAAGTGAGTTTAAGTATGTTTTAAGTATATGAAATTATACTCAAAACACACTTAAAATATACTATATACTTAAATATACTTAAAACATACTTTTGATGGTAAACTAGCATACTTGAAGTACACTTAAAATACACTTAAAAGGTTACTTAAAACATACTTAATTTTGTTCATTATTAAAAAAGGTATGTTTTAAGCACATTTTAAGCACCTTCAAGTAGATTTTAAGCATGTTTTAAATACATTTTAAGCACATAAACTTTTTGTTGGGTTACATAACAGTTATTTTAGCTCTACCCTGTTTTACATACCAGTTTCTCAAAAAAAATGCTAATTTATACCCACTTTTGTTAATACCAGTTCAATTATAATTGTTCGAGGTACTGAGTTAATCACAGTGAACAATTTTATTTTGGGTCATCCTATATACAGAAAGGTTCTTTTTACGAAATATACAGAACGTATGTGACCAATAAGAATTTAATCTTGGAGTTGGTAAGCATTCCATAACTCCTGCCACCCCAAGCCTCACAAGTTTAATCGTCACATATAGATAAATGTCCCAGGACGTTACAAAAATTTGAGCTATTTCCTTTTTTATATAATAAATTTCCATTTTTGGTAGGGTACTGTATATTCCAAAAAAAGAACTTTTCTGTATATAGGATATTCCAATTTTAATATAACAAATACAAACAGGCGAAGGTAGCTAGCTATATTGACTAATTTTAAACAATATCTTGTAAATTATTATTATATTAATATTAATATTAATATGAAAATTCAGTTGTTGGGTTTGTCAGGTGTAGAATTGTTATTATTATCCAACTTCTGGAGGATGGTTTCTAAATTTGTTGAACAATCACAACAAATGTTATTGGCCTTTGTAGAATAATTGGGTAGAAGGTTTTCATTATTTGCTAATTAATATTAATTAAAATTTTAGGAACATCCACCTTTTGGCAAATGATTTAGGAATCATCAGATTTGCCAGATTGATGAACAAATCCACACAATGCATATGTTTTCCATACATTGGTGTATTGCCCATTTCATCATCAACTTCTCCAACAGATGCATGATCCTTGGCAGTAGTTGGTAAAGACTAGTGCTGTAATCCAAAAAAGGAAAAAGTATGGTTGCAAAAGTGGTCACAAAGGTAATTGCAACCACTTTTTATATGCCATAAATACAATTACTACCATCATCATAATTTATGGCGCTAGTCTTTAGTAGTTGGATGATTCATTGTATTTATAATAAGTAATGCAATCATATAATAAAAACTTTACAATATAGTAATGATAGTTATTATTATTAAAGTTATTTATTGACTATTTGTGAGGTTGATAAAGTTCAATTTCAGATTTATATTTTGCATTTTTAAAAAAGAATTTTTTTTGTATGATAAAACTTCAAAAGAAAATTTTAAAGTGTTTATGTTGTATGGCATACACATACTGTATATCTTTATCAAAAGTAATACAATTTAGATTCATCTTTACATTATATTTTTAATGGAAATGATAATGTTCAGTTTCAATTTCAGTTTTAAGCTCGAGTTTTGAGCCTCTTGAGCCTGATTATTCAAATTAAATCTTTATTTTTTTTCAGATTCTATAGACAATTGTTATTATAATTATTAAAATAAAAAGCTTTTAAAATTGATTAATCCTTCATTAAAAAAATTAAGTTAGAGAAGCTAATTAAAAATCATAATTCCTAAATCCCAAATCACAAATGACTTGTGATGATTCATAAACAATTTGTATGTTATTATTTAATGGAAAAATAAATAATCTAATTATTCTTTTATAAAAACTTTTTAATAAATTCAGATTCATTAATTACTTTGCCAAATTTATCAGAATTTAAATTTTCAGTCATGGAAATAAATAAATCAAGATTCATTGTAAATTCTACAAATATAAATTACTAAATATTAACTAATTAATTTGAAATATGGATGAATGATTTTATTTACCTTGATTTGATATTGGAGGATAATTTGGAGGTGGTGAATTCCACATTCCATCTTTATCAATCTAACCAATCAGTTGTAATTTCCAATAAATAATAATGATAATAATAATTACATTTCAATAATATACATGAATATTTACCATATGAGATCTATCTGATGCAAATACTTTAACAAATGTTTCTCCAGGAATTAATCTAAATTTCCTAAATTTAAAGCTAAATTAATTAAATCAACACTAAATCATCATTAAATCCATTTACTATTATTATTATACCTTGGATATTTTGACATCTTAAATTCTCCAATTATTGCTTCATTCACATATGTATTGAAATCGCATGGAAATGATTCAGTTGTATCAAAATCATAAATCCATGTTCTAATTATAAATAAAAAATAAAACAGCACATATTATAGATTATTTATAACATTAATCTATTTTGTTTTCTTTTTCAAAAAAATTTACTTTTGTTTCTCTTTTAATATTAATATTACATGATAATCCTATATTTTTTGAAACAATAGTTAATTGTGATAATAGACAATTTATTTAATCATTAATTTGGATAAAATTTCTGTTTGCTAACTAATCATTATATTTACCCATAAAACCAATCCATTTTCTAATTCAGATGAGCTTTGTCTAAATAATGGCACCTATTATTTATTTATTAATATAAAAATGCATTATATTACCATTACTATATGAAAAAATTATTTATTATTCTGATTTGTGTAAAAATTTATATGCTTACAACTTTATCTTCATTAGAAATAAAACACACATAAATTCCTTCCTTATAATCTTCATTTTTTTCATCTAGAAGAAATTTTTTACACAAATGATAAATATTTTCTTCACAGTAACATTTTGTATAAATTAAATCTTCCTTTTTATTATCCGGTAATACTATCATAGTGTTTTATTAATTTAATCAATAATAAATAATAAATAAAATAAGATGTTATATAACAGTCATACGTAGCACGAAGTATAAAAATGGCGAATTTTAAGAATTCAATTTTTAATTTGTTAAAAAACCAAATTATATTCATTCATATAAATACCAATATTCATTCTCAATTTCATTATCATCTTCATCTTCATCCTTAATCAACCAAATATATACATCTCCCAAATTATCACTATTTGTAACTTTGTCATTCAAATGAAGATTTGAATATATATAAAAATCCTTAGTCTATGAACAAAGCCAAAATGATTCAATTTCTAAGTTCAGAAAAGATTGGCACCTCATTTTTTTAAGGCAGACCACTACATAATAGGATCCTTTGTAGCTTCATCTGACCATAATACATTTAGGTTAAACACACCTGATTTGCTTTGGTATTCTGGCATTTAAAGGTGGCTGTGGGAAGAAAATTTTTTTGTAAAGAATTCTATTACAAATCTGCCGTAAAAACCATAAATGTTATATAACAATTCTATAACACTTGTAACACTCACATCTTTTATTGGGGCGTGAGATGCCTTAAAAAAAATATAAATAAAATTGTATCAGAGCCTTTAACTAAAGAGATACAAACATGAAACTAAGGGGAATTGTGTAATTTAGGCTATAGAGTTTTTTTTCTTACCAAATAAAAAAAAATTTTTTTTTATATAAAAAAATCAATAATATATAAACTTTATAACCAAATGAGATAAGCAAAGGTTCTATATAGATTTATTATAGAAGATTTAAGCAATAAAACTATAAAAAATTTTGTTTAAATTTATTATGAAAAAAAAAGCTATCATAGTTTAAAGTTATTTGATTTATTATTAAATTATACCTTAAAAATTTCCATTGTAACTGATAAATAAAATAGAGATTTCTTTTTATAATTCATGTTTTCAAAAAAAAAAAATTCTTGGTTGTCAACATTTACATGTGTTGGAATATATGATAAAGATTAAGGTTTCTGGTCCAAACTGTTTTCTCAAAGCCCAAACTAGTTTGGGCAATTTGGGCTTCTCAACATTTTTTATAAGCATGAACATTAAAAAACTATATGAATCAACTTGTTTTAACTTAAACAACTTTAAAATAATTTCGCCCAATTTTGGCTAATAACAAAAAGCAGTTTGGGCTTATAAAAAAATAATTTTTGCCCAAAGTATTTGGCTACTAATAGAAGTAGTTTCGACCAGAAACCTTAATAAAGATACTAGCACATAATAATTTGTTATATTGATGTAACATATGTTTGATGATGGTCAACAGCCACAGAGCATCACATTATCTTATTATTATGCTAAAATGGGGACCTCAGGTGGTGTGGTAAGAGTTGTCAGAAATTCAGTACAAAAATCAAGTGAGATAAATGAATGAAATTTTATATATGGGGCATGCTGCCACAAAACCAGACAAAGTGAACATTGATATTACCAGGAATTTCAGGGATCAAAATTTAGTTATTATCATCACAATTAGTTTATAATGCCCCATTTGTTAAGTGATATATAGAATTACCTCTATATAAAAATAGTTAAGATGAAGCTAATTTATATCAGATCTACTATGGAACCCAAGAATTACAGCACCATTAGAAGTATTTTGAAAAAAGAACAAGGTGAAAAAATTGCTCCTTACATTTTCAAAATAAATGACACTCAAACACTGGAAGCTTACCTAAGAAAAGAAAGGATTACCTATGAAATTTACCATGAAGAAAGAAAAATAATAAATGTTGGAAAAAGAAAGCATCATGATGATGCATTATTACCTAATAAAAAGCAAAAATCTTTAAAAGGA